CCTGCCCAGGCAGGTCTCGAACTTGCGGGCTCCGGCAATCCACTCACCTCAGCCTCCTAAAGGCGCGGAATTACAGGCTGAGCCACCGAGCCTGTCTACAAATTGTGATATAATTGGGAGGGGAAAGTGAAAGTTTACTAAATTGTAGTCTGTCTAACCATACTGTGAGACATTGTCTGAAAATGATAAATAAGGCATTTTTGTAAAAACAAACGTGGGTAAATGCTGAAAGAAAACACTAAAATTTTAGAGTTGAAAGTACTTGGCTCTGAGGAGGATACCTCAGGGATCAGAGAACTGTTTTTTTTCTAAGTCTTGTAGCACTGATTTTTAAAACTATGAATGTGTATAACTTTAATAAAATTGAAAATAATGAAAACATTTCTTGCAAATAAGTATACAAGTCTATCACTAGGTTCCTCAGAAAATCCTATGATAGTAATCACAAGTATTTATTGAACATGTGGTATTACCTTTTATCATCCTAAGCCCTATCCATGTATTAGCCTACCTCTTTACACGTTCTAGGATCCATTCTTCCTTTTCAGTAGTTATGACCCTTTTGGGTTTATATATGTATTTTTCTGTTGCCTCAACCAGCTACAACTGTACTCATAGTTCTTTGCAATTTATTCTATGGAAATAATGTACTATGCAGAGAGATACTTTGTACTATATGTTTATTTCATGCTTTATAATCATGAGAAATGAAGCAGTCTGATATTCACTAACAAGGGTATTTTGAGTTAGTTATGAAATATCTTCTATAAAATATAAAATTTTAACTTTTAAAAAAAAATTTTTTTTGTTTTTTATTTTTTTATCTTTTGAGTTGGAGTCTCACTCTGTCGCCCAGACTAGAGTGCAGGGGCCGCTCCCGGCCACCACAGCCTTGACCCGCTGGGCCCTGGCGATCCTTCCGCCTCAGCCTTCCGAGTAGCTGGAACTACAGGCGCGCGCTACCACTCCTGGCTAATTTTTGATTTATTGTAGAGATGAGGTCTCGCCAAGTTGCCTAGGCGGGTCTCGAACCCGCGGGCTCAGGCAATCCGCTCACCTTGGCCTCCCCAAACGCTGGGATTACAGGCTGAGCCACTGAGCCCGGCCAAGATTTTAACTTTTAAATATGGCTGGGTGCAGTGGCTCTTGCCTGTAATCCAAGCACTTGGGGAGGCCGAAGCAGGAGGATTGCTTGAGCCCAGGAGCTCAAGATCAGCCTGGGCAACATAGCAAGAACTCATCTCTACAAACATCAAAAAATTATCTAGGTACATGCCTATAGTCCCAGCTACTCGGGAGGCTGAGGGAGCCCAGGAGGCTGAGGCTGCAGTGAGCTGGGATCATGCCACTGCACTCCAGCCTGGACAGCAGAGTGAGACCCTGGCTTTTTTTTTTTTTTTTTTTTGAGTTGGAGTCTCATTCCGCTGCTCAGACTGGAGTGTAGTAGCACACTCATGGCCACCCCAGTGTCAACCTGCTCAGGTGATCCTTCCGCCTCAGCCTTCCAAGTAGCCAGAACTACTTACCTTGCCTAGCTAATTTTTTGATTTATTGTAAAGATGAGGTCTTGCCAAGTTGCCCAGGCTGTTTTCGAACCCGTGGGCTCAGGCAATCCTCTCACCTTGGCCTCCCAAAATGTGGAATTACAGACTTGAGCCACTGCCCCCAGCTGACTCTGACTTTTAAAAACAGTTTTAGTTAATATTTGTGCATTACATGTATGTGTATTTAGAACTGATAAACCAAGAAATAGCAATATAAGCATTTTACTTAGAAATGTAGAGGTAAATAGGAGTGAAAAATAGTTAACAAACATCAAAGCAGAGGCCTCTGGGGATCAGAACTGAATGGGGGAAGGGCTAGAGCTGGGAACATTTCTGTTTTAGAAAGCTTTTGGTGTTATTTTATTTTAAAACCTTATGCATAACTTTGATAAAACAATATATTCATTCTGTGGATTACTGCATTGTTTTCAAGGAAAATACCCATGTGATCTTATGTGAATGATTATGTGAATGATAGACCAGTGATTTGAATATATTAAAATGCTGTTTATCCATGATAATTTTGGCAGTACGCCAAATATTTCCATTGCCAAAGGCAGTGATTTAAATTTAAATTCCTGCTTAAGATGAATGGGGCTAAGAGGTTTGATTGCGTATAGTTTCTCCCCCGTCTGCACTTTAGCCCTCCAGCAGTTTGTTCTTTATACGGCAGCCATGAGTGATAATAAATAAGCTTATCTCACTCTCTTTTTTAAAAATCTGCCAGATGTCTTTCATCGCAATTAGAATAAAATTCAAACTCTTCATCACGGCCTGCAAACCAGGCCCTCAATAATTTAAATGATTGAACTTATGCCCCGTTCCATCACTCTCCTGATCACCAGGCATCATTCTTGACAGCCTTTTTCTGTACACTCACAGCTCATTCCTACCTCAGGGCCTTTGTACTTGCAGTTCCTCATGAGACTGACTTCTTATAATTCAAAACTGAATTTAAAATTTAATTCCTGAAAAGGCGTTTTTTGACCCTCTAGCTAGTGTAGCTTCCTCCACCCTTTCTCTGGAGCAGTGGATCTCAGAGTGTGGTCTTCAAACCAGAATCATCAGCATCACCTCAGAGTGTTTTGCTTTGTTTTGGAAGTGCAGAGTCTTGGGCCCCACCACAGACCCAGTGAAGGAAAATCTGCATTTTTAACAAGATCCCAAAGTGATTACATGTTGGAAATTTTCCAGAAGCACTGAACTGCAGTATCCCCTCCTCCAACTTTCCTGTGTATCTGTTAATGGGAGTGTGTATTTCTGAAGGTAATTTAGTCATTTGTTGACTGTTTATTACTTCTTTTCCCTAAGTAGAATATAAGCTCCACAAGGGAAACACCTTGTCTGGCTTGTTCATTCCTGGATCTCAGCACCTAGCACCAGTGTCTGCACCTAGTGTATGCTCAATAAGTATTTGATGAGTGAAAGAATAAATGAATATAATGGAGATTATTTTGCATTCTTTGAAATGTGTAACTGCCTATACGATGACCACTTGCATACCTAATCCTGAATTGTACCCCACAGCTTTAAAATTAAAAAAAAAAGAAATATATAAATGTACAATAAAAATCTTCCTGGCTTTTACTTGCTAATAGCACTGGGGTTATTCTTATCTCCCAGCATCATCGTTATGAAGGGGTTTCACTCTATTTATTGGACATTGAGTACTATTAAACTAGTGTGACCAATAAAGAATCACTTGTGCCAGGTACGGTGGCTCACGCCTGTGATCACAGCTACTCAGGAGGCTTGGATTACTTGAGGTCAAAGTTTGAGAACAGCCTGGTCAATGAAATGAGATCCTATCTCTTAAAAAAAAAATCACCTGAGTATTTATTCTTGTTTTCATGCAGTTTGTATTCAGAACCACTGTTTAGGTTTTATTTAAAGTGCTTCTCCCCTGACTTAATACCATAACCAATGACTTACTTTTTAATATTTAAAAAGCACTCTCATTCAGAGTTAACATTATCTTCAAAGGTTTTTATTCAAAGTAAATATTAGTTTGACAGCCTGTAATCCCAGTACTTTGGGAGGCTGAGGTAAGAGGATTGCCTGAGCCCGCGGGTTCGAGACCCGCCTGGGCAACTTGGCGAGACCTCATCTCTACCATAAATCAAAAAAATTAGCCAGGTGTGGTAGCGCGCACCTGTAGTTCCAGCTACTTGGAAGGCTGAGGCAGAAGGATCGCCGGAGCCCAGCAGGTTGAGGCTGCGGTGGCCAGGAGTGGCCACAGCACTCCAGTCTGGGTGACAGAGTGAGACTCCAACTCAAAAAAAAAAAAATACATATATATATATATATATGAGTTTGATATTTGTATCAAGTTTTATTGAATCAATTTAATAATCCTTCTTTAAAAATAAGAAAATAGGGTTCCAAATATGTTAAGTCAAATGCAAAATTGGATGTTAAATTGCAAATAAAAACTGATAATGATAATGTATCTGTTTTTCACTTTTGAGATACAATTCCAGGAAAGACTTACAGTTTCTGATATGGTACTATATTTAAAGGTGCGTTCCCAGGATGTTTTCTAATGCATAGCCTGGTGAAATTTGTTAGGAAACAACTTTTCTTTCTTTTTTTTTTGAGTTCGAGTCTCACTCAGGTACCCAGGCTGGAGTGCAGTGACACGCTCATGGCTACCGCAACCTTGGCCTACTGAGCTCAGGTGATCCTTCCACCTCAGCCTTCCAAGTAGCTTGAACCACACGCCCAGTTAATTTTTTGATTAATTATAGAGGTGAGGTCTCGCCATGTTGTTGGTCTCAAACCCCTGAACTCAGGCAGTCCTCTCGCCTCCACCTCCCAAAGTGCTGGGATTACAGGCTTGAACCACTGCTCCCAGCTCAATCTACATTCTTTAAATGAAGAAATAAGATGGTTTACATCAATGGCTTTCAACTGGGGATAATTTTGCACCCCAGGGGACATTTAGCAATGACTGAAGACATTTTTGCTAGTAACAACTAGAGGTGGGGGAATACTACTAGCATTTAGTGGGTAAAGACCAGGGACACTGTTAATTCTGTAATGCACAGAACAGCCCACTGCCACAAAAAATTATCTAGCCCCAAAAGTCAATGGTGCCAATGCCTTGGCTGGCTTAAGTTTAGAGAGGCCTCCTGCAAATCCTAGTGGCCATTGGAAGAAGAATAATTCTTCCTACCTTTTGTAGAGAAAATATACAGAAATTGGCGACTTAGAGATTCAGACTGTATATTGGCACTTTTAGATATGTTCATTTTAGAGCACTACTTTTAATCAGATATAACATGGAAATCTAATGACTGGCCTTCCTCTTTGGAATAAACCACTCTTTTAACAAAAAAGATATTTAAGCAATTTGGCAACTTAGTTGATTTTAGAATTGTATAACATTCTCAAGTAATCTTAAATGTTTTTAAAAATAGGAAAATTCAAATATAGGGTTATTGGTTTTCCTTATTTTACAGATGGGGTCGAGGATTTGGTCTTTTGGGTTCCATTTTTGGAAAGGATGGTGTATTAAACCAGCCAAACAGTGTCTTTGGACTTATATTTTATATACTACAGTTATTACTTGGTAAGTATTTATACACCAATACAAAATAAGTTTGTTATGTTCCATTGAGTACTTTGTGTCTTTGCCCTGAAGTGTGTCTCTATATTAAATAAAAGCATGTGTTAATGATAGAACCACTAGTTTATAGCACATTTTTGTGTTGTGAAAACTTGATTCACTAAGATTTTCATGATACTAATGTTGAACTTGGTATCAGTTGGTATCTAATCATGGATAGCAGCATCATGTCCAGAAAAAAGTCCCATTCAAGGAAATTATCACCCCAGACAGATTTCCCTGTAAACTTTTTTCATTATTATAGGCTCTGTAACTTTTAAAAAATAACATATATTGAGAAAACCTTAACAGTAAACTATATTCATAATTTCATCACATTCACATATCCACTATTTTCTGTCTTCTGCTTTTTAAAATAATTGTATGTGTACTCTTATGTTTCATTATTGTCTATCTTAAGTGTTATTGTTGACATTTTGGTTTCATGGTTTTTATGTTCTAAGTAGTGCTATAGCGATTAACTTTGTTTAAAGATTTCCTCCCCCTTCTCTCTGAATTATTTCCACAAAATAAATCTCTAGGCATGGGTTAATGAGTCAAAAATATAGATTTTTTTTTAAAAATGGATTTTAATAGGTATTAACAAATTGCTTTCCCTCCCCCCCTCAGTTGTCTGGTTTCCCTGAAACTTCATCAGTCTTCATTTTTAAAAAGTGTTTTCTAGGCTGGCATAGTGGCTCATGCCTGTAATTCCAGCACTTTGGGAAGCCAAAGTGGGAGCATTGCTTGAGTTCAGGAGTTTGAGATCATCCCGGGCAACACAGTGAGACCTTGACTCTACAAAAAAAAATCAGGTTTGGTGGCACACACCTGTAGTCTAGTTACTCAGGAGGCAGAGGCAGAAGGATCGCCTGAGCCCAGGAGGTCGAGGCTGCAATGAATTGTGGTAGTACCACTGCATTCCAGCCTGGGCAATAGAGTGAGACCCTGACTCAGAAAAAAAAGAAAAGTATTTTCTGTAAATTTCTGATAGTTACATATTAGTAGCTATTGCCTTAAATTTTACTATATTTTAGTTTCCTTTTATTGCCCATTTAGTTATTAGAATTCTGAGAATAGTCCCTTTTCATACTTGTTACAAATATTTTACCCATTCTTTATCCTTTTATGTATTATGAATTTGTATTTCATAAGTTTTTATACTTTCAGAGTTAAACCCATCCATTTTTGCCTTTGCATTCTTATTTTTAATGTTTTATTTCATTATCTGTCGGCTTTTCTGATTTGATTTATTAAAAATATGTAACTCTTCTATCTGAAATTGATTTTTTATGAGGAAAATTATAAATCTAAATTTTTTTCTCAATAGTCATATCAAGTTTGTCCAGTTTCATATTTATGTATTTATCTTGCAGAAATACAAAGATGTATGACCAAGGATATTCACAGCACTATAGTTTAAAATAGCAAAAAATTGGAAGTAGCTTAGCAATAGGTAATAGTTAAATAATTAGAAAATACTATGAAATACTATGAAACCCTTAAAGGAAAAAGGAAGTCTATATGTGTATCCTGGAAAAATCAAGACATTGTTTAGTGAAAAAGTGGTGTAATAGCTTTAGGATATGTATGTTTGTATTTATGCATGCATATGCATAGAAGAGTGTTCAATGGTTGGGGGAAGGGAGAAATTTCATTTTATAGTTCATAAATTTCTGTTTTGTTGGATTTCTGGAGGATATAAAGTATATACCCAAATGCAAGGCATAACTTATTTTCCCTTAATAGAAAAGAGTCCCAGAAAAGCCTTGGACTATATTAATTTTTGAAGACGGGCTAAATAGTCAAATTTCTGTTTATATTATTTTTTAATTTCATTATGTATACATACTTTAAATCATATGTATCGTATGCAGTTTATCATTCACATTTTGTGAAGTTTTTTAAGAATCTTCACATGCATTTGTAAAGTCAGTGTCTTTATCATTAGAGGCACATATTAACTCATCTGACGCAGTTTCCAGAATACATCATCTTCGCTTAATTTTTTCATAGGTTATACATTTACAGGGTTCAAAAAATTTTTTCAATGTAAAGTGCTGTACAGTGAACAATCTCTCCCAACCCTGTCTCCCTTTGCCCAGTTTCCACTGTTTCTCGTCCCCACTGGTAGGTTGTTGTTGTTTTAGAGTTTCTTTATGCATATGTAAGAAAAAATAAATGTATAACTTTATTTTTCCTCCTTTTTTAGATATAAAAGGCAGATATTATGCACATTGTTCTACAGCTTGCTTTTTGTGTGTGTGTGTGTGACTGGTACATCTTGGTGATATTTCCATATCAGTACATTGTCTTCATTCTTTTTTAGTTTCTTTTTTTGAGTTGGAGTCCCACTCTGTCACCCAGACGGGAGTGCAGTGGCCGCTCTCGGCCACCGCAGCCTCGACCTGCTGGGCTCCGGCGATCCTTCCGCCTCAGCCTTCCAAGTAGCTGGAACTACAGGCGCGCGCTACCACGCCCAGCTAATTTTTGATTTATTGTAGAGATGAGGTCTCGCCAAGTTGCCCAGGCGGGTCACGAACCCGCAGGGCCAGACAATCCACTCACCTCGGCCTCCCAAAGTGCTGGGATTACAGGCTGAGCCATCGAGCCCGGCCTCTTTTTTAGTTTCAAAGTAGTTCATTGCATGATCATACCATCATTTATTTAGAGTTACAGCACATTTTAAGTTCCATTGGGCATTTTACCCCAAGTCTCAAGTACCTAGTTACATTACAGTAGTATTTAATAACCAGTATTTATAGAGCATCCCAAGTGCTTTATATTAGCTCCTTGAATTCTCACAACAGTCTTGGGAAGTGGGTATGATTATTATCCCAATTTTATAGTTGAGTAAAGACCGGCATAGAGAAAATAAATAACTTGCCCACACCTTTTTTTTGGTTTCTTTTTGTTTTTGGAGTTGGAGTCTCACTCTGTTGCCTAGGCTGGAGTGCAGTGGCACGCTCGCAGCCACCCCAGTGTCAACATCCTGGGCTCTGGCAATCCTTCCGCCTTAACCTTCCAAGTAGCCGAAACTACAGGCACGCGCTACCATGCCCGGCTAATTTTTTGATTTATTGTAGAGATGAGATCTTGCCAATTTGCCTGGGCTGGTCTTGAACCCATGAACTCAGGCAATCCTCTCACCTAGGCCTCCCAAAGTGCTGGGACTATAGGTATGAGCCACTGCGCCTGGCCTATCCCTGTCATTTTGAAACTAACTTTCTTATATGCAATTAAAGTGACAGCATTAATTTTTGAAATTTTAGTTGCTTAGAACATAGGTGAAGTCAGCAAACATATTCAGTAAAAGGCCAGACAAAGTAGTTCAGGCTTTGCTGGCTGTCATAGCTACTCAACTCTGCCTTTCTAAGTGTGAAAATAGCCACAGACATTACATAAATGAATGGGTATGGCTGGGCTCCAATGAAACTTTATTTATGAAATAAGTAGTTAGCCAGATTTGCCATTTTCTGGAATAAGTAACATCAGCATATTAGTCCTGAAGAGACTTATTAAAGCAGTTATCCAGTTCTGACTAGTCCTGTGGCTGTGTAGCAGCCAGCCCATAGGCATCTTCTCATGCCCTGTGTTTTTAACAACAGGCACTAGAATTTCAGCTCTTTGACTTCTTTAAACCTGCTACTACCTGGTCTTATTTTTTTTCTTATTTATGTTATCCACTAGCCATTTAGGTAGGAGGATAGTTTAATATGTTCTGCTTTCCCCTGTATCCTTGAAAATAATGTGCATGTTCTCCTTACTGTTGGTAATAGGAAGTTACAAAACAATACATATGAAGAGAGTCAAGAATTCAGGCACGTTCGTTTTTGTCTTGAGAGCCCTGGCTCAGCAAACAGTTAGGTTTTTTTCTTGATCAGGCTATGCCCCACATGTGGCCAACTGGCCATATGTGGTTTCTCTTACCCACCAGGGAGAGCCCTTTGTGAAATGTTTACCGAGAATTTGTTTTCTTCTTCAGCAGCCTGTTGGTGTAGTTATCTCCTATTATGGCATTTTGATAAATTCAATCTAAATACGGAGAAGCAAATTTCACTTTCACAGATGAGGAGTCTGTAGTGCAAAGCCTGGGGAGGGTCTCACCAAATGTGTACAGCTTGAAAGAAGAAGGTTGTGGTCCTCACGTTCCTTTATTCATTAGGAGAGTTGGGGCTGTTGACTTTACAAATCGACTTCATTGCTTAATGTGATTGTGAAATTGTATACTTTCTTTGTGTATATACCCTTAACTGAGACTAGTTTGTGATAAGTAATATTTCATCTGAAATACTGGCAAATCAAAAACATTGCAGCTATAAAATGTATTTTTTAAAATGTATTTTATCTGCAAAATCAACCTGTTAATCTTAACAAAACAGACCAATAGTTTTTGTTCTCAAATTTCAGAGTTTTGCAATAAGATCAGTATCCAAAGGCTGTGGCAAATGACAAACTTGCTACCTTGTAACTGAGCAGCTTTCTCGCCAGTGCCAAAGCCTGATCAAGCCAACTGTCTCTGTCTCTTACAGGCATGACAGCAAGCGCAGTCGCAGCTTTAATCCTCATGACGTCCTCCATCGTGTCTGTGGTGGGGTCTTTGTACCTGGCCTACATTCTGTACTTTGTGCTGGAGGAGTTTTGCATCATCTGCGTCATCACATATGTGCTGAACTTCATTCTCCTTATCATCAACTACAAACGACTAGTTTACTTGAATGAGGCCTGGAAACGGCAGCTGCAGCCCAAGCAGGACTGACAACCTGACAGACGCTTAACTGACAGTCTCAAGTCCCTTTTTCCATTAAGTTTCTTTTGCAGCAGTTTTTTTTTTATTCTTCACAACAGATATTTTCCCTAAGAATCTTAAACTGATTTTTAAAACTCCTGTAAATCAGAAGGGGCCCTAGATATTTTTTGTGTCAATCTTCATTTTAAATATGGATACAAAAAAAGGATTCACCGAGCCAATCAAAGACAAGCTTTAACTTTACTTTGAAGATGTTTCTGAAATAATAAATATCGCCCTAGCCCTCTTCCCTCAATTGTAAAGTGAGCAGCCATTGCTAGTAATTCTTTAATGTGTATAAATTCAATTTCAGGTATAACAAATGTGATCATGACATGAAAATATTTTAGAATAGATACTGTATTAAATATTGCCATGTTTACAATATGTAATATGTTTTTAGCTGATGGATTTAAACATGTAGATTCAACTAGAATCCATTTATGTGATATTTGTAAATAAAGGTAGAAATATTGGATCCATCCCTGCAGAACTTACTGTACAGTTTAGTTGAAGTGTAGCAATGAGGAATTGTCAGCTCAACGCTGACTGATGAAATAGTGAAAAAAGTAAGCCCTTACAGAGCATCTTGTGAAAGGTACTGACAGCTGTGGGTGCAGCATTGACAGCAAAAATAATAGGGTGGTTGGTTCCCTTTCATCTCCCTCTTCAGAAAGGAAGAAACTGATTTGGAATGTTCAAATCAAGTTTGTGTCTAGTCATAAAACTGGATCAATTATAACCTTACAGAGTGAGTCACATGACCAGACCTTCAAGTCCAAGACCTTCAGGACACTAATGATGGGAAAATGGGTATTTTTCTTCGGAGAAAAGTTAGAAATACTAATGTCACCTTTAGGGTAAAGTCTCTTACACCAATTGAATTTTCATGCAGATATTTTCCCCGAATGTTGGTGCCAGTCAAACAGTATTATGACCTTGAAATAGCCAGTATAAACCCAATTCCTACGAAGTAGGATTGCTCTTTGGTAGCTCCAGTGTTTTCCCTAATTGTTTCTTTCTGCATGATCTAAGCAGATGTCTAGTTTAATTGTTTTAGAGTCAGATATTGGATTTGTAAACTTGAGGGCTGACAGGCTGCTCAGTATGCTTAATTGGGAGAAGTACTACAGGTAGAAATACCTAAAGGTGAAAGATGGTCATGTAGTCACTGCTCTTTATAATAATTACACGAGTGCAGTAAGAAAACTTTTTAAAGGGGATCTGAATAAACCCGAATGAAATTGTGACAGTATGTTTCTATGGTTAACATCTTATATCAGAATGTTAAAAGTGCCTTCTGTCTTAAATCTCAAACCAAATATTTTGTGTGTTGACCTGGGCAGAAGTGTCCTCCCTCCCTTTCTTACCAAGATGTAGAAAACTTGCATTCTACAAAAGAGGTTCTGTATGATCATTTTATTCCTTTGAGAAATAGCAATGTTTTTGCTTCCAATTTGATTCATCATTACGTTAAGAAATAGTCATTTAGACCAGTAACTTCTGAGTGCTGTATTTGCCTTCTTTTTGAAGGGAGGAGATAGGCTCTGTTCTGCCAACTAAAATGTGTAGAGTCGGCAACTGTTCAGTAGTTTGCAACGAACTGTCATGATTGGTGCAATGTCGGTCTTCTGGCCCAAGGCAGGTATAAAGTCTGAATTGTAATGAACTTTTAACCATTTTAACCAGCTTCTTAAAAGCTAGCTTAATTCCGATTTCATCACGGCTGTCTTCCCATGAATGTGAATATTTCGATGCCTGTTTTATTATGTATGCATTGTTCTTGTATTCTGAAGTAGTTAAAGAACTCTAGAAAACGTTGATTGGATGTCTGATGTGATGGAGAAACAAGTCCTCACTCTTGAGAGCTGCACAGTGAGGTTTGTGTAGCAGTGCATCCAGTCCTACCAAGGCAGTTCACTGGTTCTGTTTTCTAAGCTAGAGTGGAAATGGCTTGATGGTTAAGACATCTGTGGTATATATGACCGTTTGTGCTAAACAAGTTCCTCGTGTTCCAATATCCAATGGTTTCTCATATTTTGTATCAATCGGCAGAGTATAGTTAAAGCTTGTCTTGATGTTGCATTCTTGCAAATGTCTTCAACTCTTGCGTGAGTTGTTAAAATGTTCAGCCAGACCCTTTAAGTTTTTCCTTTGCTTTCCTAAGCCTGGGGAAACCATTGTTTCTGTTGTATAAAAATTTTTGCCACATTCCTGTGACCCAGTAGAATTAATACTCTTTTTCTCACTGAGAGATGAACATGTGCTGCCTGAAATAACAGCATCACAATGCCAGTATTTCAGTAAGCAACAAAACACCTGTTTTTTTTTCTTTTTTGCCTGAAAGAATTTGGGCTCCCCTCTATACCTTCTGTTCTACCTAGAAGTGGGGATAGGGGGACACTGTGTTATAAAATTGTCATGACTGTTTTAGACTGAATATTTAAACAGTGCAGGATTACTAGCCACCAATGTTAAAGGACAGACTAGGGACAAAATTTGTTTTTACTAGTAATTCCATGCTTTATGTTTTTGAAGGCTTCATAAAAAAGGAAGCCTCTTATTTGATAGTCATAAATTCCATTTGAAGAAATAAGAGAAGTTGTGATTAGATGATAAATTCTAGGGAATCCAGGTAGTTTGGAGGATTTCATCTGGTTTTCCATTACAGCTAGTTGCTGTCAGTAAGGGTAAACTTCTGGTGGAATAACTCAGGACTTACTGTGTGCCAGGAATTACTTTTACTTGATATATGTATCCTCTCCTTAAATTCATTATTTTTAAAGAATGTTGAAAGCATTGAGTATTTTCATACAAAGAGACAATTCTGACATTTGGTATCTAAGGGATCTTTGGATCTACTAAACTAGAGGACCAAGACCACAATGAAATTAAAACTACTGTATGTTGGCTTTGGTCTGCTTATTTTTCATCTATTTTTAAGAACACTGTCTGCAAAAATACAAAGTTGTCTTCAGCAATTACTTCATAACTTAGGTTGGTACCAATCTAAGTTATGGTCTTGTCTTGAGAATCAGTATTAGACAAATGCCAACAAAGAAATCCACTATCATTTTTAATAACCTATTTAGGGGAATATACCCAATATGCAATCCTTGTCTTCATGTTTTTTCCTCTAGCATACAAGCATTGGCAAAACACTTCCGACATTTTAGGCAGCACTCATGATTCCAAATTTGTGAGAACCACCCTTCAATCAAACAACAGGGGCGGGAGTGGTAGTCCAGGCTACTTGGTTAAACATTTTTTTCTCCAAATTAACCCAGAAAAGGTGAAATGTTTTGTTATAAAACTGTATTAAGCATGGCCTAAGTATTAGGTGTATGATGTGTATAGTATGTTCCAACAAAAATATTTATTACTAGTGCTTTAAGCTCCAGAGTAAACATTCATTTAAAATGAAGTTCACTGGGCAGATTTCCCCTTTAATATAGATAGAAATATTCTTTATCAGAGATTTAGGGCACCATTTTGCTAATTGGTAAATAAAACAATTGTAAATATGTAAGAATGTTTATTTGTTGCACATAACTTTTTTGGTATAAAATAAATGTAGAAGTTACCTGTGGAAGTTGTGCTGCCATTATTCTTACACTAAGGGTTGCATTTCAAAAAAGCTGAGATGAAGTCTTTAGACTTAGTAGGGACCTTATAAAGTGTTTTTGAAGTTGATTCTGTAACCTCATTTCTCTAGGTATACTGAATTCTTTTTTTCTTTCTTTTTTTCATTTTTGTAGAGGTGGGGGCCTCGCTGTTTCCCAGGCTGGTTTCAAACTCCTGGCCTCAAGCAATCCTCCTACCTTCCTTTTTCTCTTAAAGTACATGTAGATGTGTAACTTGTAGAAGATACAAGGTCCTTAGAGACTCTCTAGTTCTTGGAACTACCGTGAGTTTATGATGTATGTAGGTGTCAAGAATTAATGACATAAAGTGTTCCTGCTTACAGTTCTGTGAACACAAAGAGTGTATCAATCAGCCGTTTTACCATAGCTTTACTTTTGCTTACCTTAAATACTCTCTTCTTACAGCCCTCTATAAAGGTAACATCTGTGAGAAAGATGAATCCATTTGAAATGCAGCTTAGCCATATGTCACTGAATAGAACAAATGTGTTCTGCGTTAGAACCTGAGGACCTAGGAAATGGACCCTGCCACTAATTTTTAAAACATTTAAGTGTATTGTGTTTACTTACTTTCTAATGTTTGTCAACTAAAGACTTTTACCTCATATACTGTTGGCATTAACTGGAACACAAAATTTGATTCTTTTGAAGAACTTAAGAGAAGTTCAGCGGTAACAAAAGGAATATGGAACCCCTAGAATTCCTAACATGCTACTTGGACTGACTACACTGTTTTGAAAACAGTCTGAAGATACCTGATAAAATTAGGCTAAATGATCGGGCTCAGTGGCTCAGCCTGTAATCTCAGCACTTTGGGTGACTGAGGCAAGTGGATTGCCTGAGCCTGCTGGTTCCAGACCAGCCCGGGCAACTTGGCAAGACCTCATCTCTACAATAAATAAAAAATTAGTCAGACTTGGTAGCGCGCACCTGTAGTTCCAGCTTCTTGGAAGGCTGAGGCGGAAAGATCACCAGAGCCCAACAGGTCGACACTGGGGCGGCCGTGAGCATGCCACTGCACTCCAACCTAGGCAACAGAGTGAGACTCCAACTCAAAAGAAAAAAAATAGGCTAAGTAACCTTTACTCTTTCTTTCATGAAGCTTGGAAAGGAGGACTAAAAAGGAGTGTGTGTTGAGCCTGGAAATTAGCCACCAGAGAAGTGAGTCAAGTTCTGTATTAAGAGCTGTCCTGGTTCACTGTCTTCCCTTTGATGGGACACCGAAAGAAATATTTTTTCCACAGCGTTCAGCTTTTAAACCAGGTCTGACAAATACTCAAATCTCAGGGATAATGCACCTTCCCTGCCTTAATGTTGCCTGTGGAAAAAGAGGGGGAAGAATAGAATCCTTACAGAAAGACCATGCTGTGGGAGGATGCTGGTGGTCACGGGTACAAAAGCAGGGAATGCTTGTCTGCAGGCTCAGTTTAAGAGGTCTTATTACATTCAGTGGTGTCCACTATGATAAAGCCAATGGGCTTTTACACTCATCTGTCCATTTCTATAAGGGCCAGACTGAACAACATACCGGAACTGGTTACCTCTGAGCTAATTCAGACACTCATCAACGCTTACGTTTCTTACGCTTATTTGTCAGCTGAACTATGTTGGAACTGGCACGAAACTTGTTAATTATTGCAGCATGACAGCGTTTCTATAAGTCTATTAGTACATGTGGGACTTCAGCTCCTCTGTGAATTTGAACATCAGCTGTGAAAGTCTACACACACGGGGTCAAGGCCGGCCAGGCTTAATCCATGCTCAGGGTGGTCCTAGGACCCAGGGGCTATTCCTGTGGAGGCAGTTTGTAGCCAGCAGCTATGAATGTGGTGTGGGTGCTGCAGCAGTCACAGTTAAGGCAATGAAAACAGCCTGACACATAAAAGTGATTCCAGATGCTTTTCAGCAGTCATTTTTATGCCAACTCTTTATTCCCATACACCTAGCATTCCCTTCTAGCAGATTACCACACAATTCAGACCAGAAACATCCTGGTTTGCCATGAACAGTCCAGGAAGCACTTGCTCTGTTTGCCGTGGATGTTCTCCTTGCCCAGGGAGGCAGGGACTGACAGAAGTGTGAGTGGAGAAGTAGTTCTTGCTTTATAAAGTAAACGGGCTGTTTTCCAAACACTTTGACTTCACTGCTGATCTGTGATACCTGGTTTCATTGGCAAGTTTCCAGTATCTCTCTCGCAAAAGGAAGGCTGCACTTTTTGGATGTCTCTGACGCGTGAAGATGCCTTTTTTATTCCCCACCGCTCTCCCCGGTGCTACAAAACAAAGCAAAAAGCAATTTAGACAAGTTCTGGTGGGCCGAGCTGGACACTAAATAGACATGTGCTTTTATGGTTTAGGATTGCTTAGTATGAACTGAATCTGAAGTGACCACTTATGGGTGGAAGTATATAAATACAAATGCTCTTCCAAACACCTCAGCTACCTAGTGTGTTCATTTCTAGTCTGTTAGGGGAAAAAAGTGCAAAGTGGTTTATCTCTCACTTCAAAACAAGGTTTAAAACTGCCTAGTAACTGGGCAGGAAGGGAGGTAGGGGTAGGGGAGGAACAGACTGAAACAAAGAATCACCCTTGCAAAGCTTGGGCCCTTCTGAAGAGAACTCTCCTCGTGGGAGAGTCCTGGCTAGTCAAAGCTGCCTAGGTGGGATCTGCTGGTGAAGTTCAAAGGCTTACCGGGCTGACTCCTAGCCTGTCTCCCACCACTGGTGGTCAGTCTGCCCAAGGTGAGACTGGGAAGGGGACAAAGCTGGTAATGGCCCGTCAGGGACGCGCCTCAGCAGCCCCCTCCTCCAGGCCACAGCTCAGTGGAAACGTTAAGTGGAAAGGAGGGCTTCCCCACCTAAAGGTTCCAGACAATCCCTCTTCCAAGTGCCAGGCACTGCCAAGCCCTTCATCGAATGGAATCCTCCCACCAGCCTACAAGGTGGTAGCACTGTCTCCAGTTCACAGGCTTATGAAGGTGAGGGAACTTGCCTCGCGCTGATGCAACTAATTGCTTACTACACAAAGCCAGTGCACTTCTCTCAGAAAATGCCATCCAGGATATTTCCAGAAACCTTTAGTCTCATTTGCCAGGCAGAGCAGAAGTTCATGTTCTCCTTCTTTTTTCTTCTTCCATCTCACCTCACCTTTCCATTCTAATTTTTAAACTTTCACTTTCCAAAGACCTGTTTCTCTATAAATAATGTGCTGTAATTGCCTCCACTACCATATCTTTCTCTAATCCCCCCAAACTGCCATTCTAAGTTTATGGTAATTAAAGAAACTAGTGTTCTAGAGGGGTAGGAAGAAACGGCAAACACTCACTTGGAACTTAACTGAGCGGCCTTTATCTGTCCCCACTTGAGAGAGCCCGAAGTCTATTCTCTTTGAAGATTTAAACACTCTTTCATTCAAGATGCCTTGAAACTTGTCTGTATCCAGTGAGCCTGCCTTTACAAATGGATACTATAAAACAAACTGAAAGACCTTGAGATTCTTAGGCTTTGTACCCTACTCGTGGATAATGAGTATATCCCAAGAGTAAATCCAATATAGGTACATTTTTTTCCTCACATTACTGTGAAATAGACAAAGGCAAGCTCAATATTTTTGCCTCAAGATAGCAGACGCTCCCCCCCCCCTTTTAATACCAGAAAATGATTTGGGGAGCTGGAACATGACTGCTTTGCTGCTTACCTTTCATACAACTTACTTTTCCTAGGAAATTCTCTAGGCAACTTACAGTGATTAAACCAGCTTTCCCCATTTTGTATCCAGTATTCTTACAACCATATGTCCAGAATTGGAAAGCCAACCTAGGAGTGTTACATGGCATAAGACAAGTTGCCATTTACTCTGGTTAGTCATGAAGTCAGCAAAATTCCAGATGAGCTCTCCAATCACGTATTCTTTGCGTTTTTTATCCAGACCCAAATGATACTGCTGCAGCAAACTCTTCTGGTACTCTTCACTGAACATGAGAGGTGGATCCTGGGATTCAAGGCAAAGAGAATTTAAGAGTCAGAACTGGCAGAATGGTAAACATTAGGTAAAAATAAAGATCCACTTGATGACCAAAGTATCTGTCTTCACAGGGGGCTGTAGTGACTGCAGGACTCACTGATGCTGGTATCGAGAGACAGCCAGGGAGTGATGGAACCCAGAGTTAAAAAAAAAAAACGAGATTTTTTAAAAAACTTTCATCAGTAACTGCTTTATTTGTAAACATAATTTGATATTTGCTTTATCTTATTTTTCCATCTCTTATCTACCAGGGCAGCCTTAAAGCTGAACTTCGCTGGAAGTAAAAATAATGTCTTTGCCTCATGCTTTAAGTAGATGCCAGGGTATAATTTGAGAACTAGTATGACTCAGACTTAACTTGCTTCAGATTCACCTGTAGCTGGTCTGGGTAAGGACTGCTGTTTAGCGTATTCATTCAAACAACAAATAGTCTAGTATCCGCTCAGGTGTCAGGTATTGGAGGTAAAGTGATAATCAAGGAAGATAAGTGTCCCTGCCTCACAGGCTTTACAAACTAGCAAGGAAGACACAAATTCTAAGTGTGATGAGGCTGAACAGGGAGACGGCAGAGGAGGAGCTGGGGGACAGCCAGCAGGGACTGCAGACAAGGGCCACAGAAAGCCTCCCCGAGGAAACAGAGACCTGCCAGGAGACCAGAGGGCCACATCTATGGATTCAGCCGGTGTTCAGTGAAGTGCTCCTACATGTCATGTGTGAAGATGCAACCATGGAAAAGACAGAAGTTCTGGGGACACACAGCCTGAGTTCATCTCATGGAAATCTTCTGAAGGTGCAAGTCTAGCTTAGATGCTCACAGATGCAGCATTTCGGCCATTTTAGGAGAAAACAAAACCCTGCTGGCTTTTTGTTTTCCAACGAGAAGGACTAACATGCTACATGAGATGCACTGAAAATATAACTGCACAACTGGAACTACAGGCACACGCCACCATGCCCAGCTAATTTTTTGATTTATTGTCGAGATGAAGTCTCACCAAGTTTCCCAGGCTGTTCTCGAACCCCTGGACTCAGGCAATCCTCTCATCTTGGCCTCCCAAAGTGCTGGGATTATAGGCATGAGCCACCATGCCCAGTCATATTTTCTGACTTTGTTTTAAAGGAAATGAACCTGTACTGTCTAGCACAATAGCCACTTAATCACACGTGGCTGTTTACATTTAAAACTAAATAAAACTAGGCCAAGCTCAGTGGCTCAGCCTGTAATCCCAGCACTTTGGGATGCCAAGACGAAGAACTGCCCGAGCCCATGCATTCGAGACCAGCCCGGGCAACTTGGCGAGACCTTGCTGTCTCTACAATAAATCAAAAAATCAGCCGGGCATGGTAGTGCACCCCTGTAGTTCTGGCCACTTGGAAGGCTGAGGTGAAAGGATCGTAGGAGCCCAGCTGGTCGACACTGGGGTGGCCATGAGCATGCCACTGCACTCCAGCCTGGGTGATGGAATGAGACTCAGACTCAAAAAAATAAAATAAAATAAATAAAACTAAATCAACTTCCATTTCAAGTCTTCAACAGGCACATGTAGCTAGTGGCTACCATCTGACAGTGCAGACAGAAAATTTTTATTACAGCAAAGGTTCTATCAGCGCTGATCCTTTCAGGCTTTCTTAAGAATTCAAAGTTAGCCGGGCTCGGTGGCTCAGCCTGTAATCCTGCGCCTTTGGGAGGCCGAGGTGAGTGGATTGCCTGAGCCTGTGGGTTCGAGACCCACCTGGGCAACTTGGCGAGACCTCATCTCTACAAAAAATCAAAAATTAGCCGGGCATGGTAGCGTGCGCCTGTAGTTCCAGCTACTTGGAAGGCTGAGGCGGAAGGACCGCCGGAGCCCAGCAGGTCAAGGCTGTGGTGGCCGGGAGCGGCCACTGCACTCCAGTCTAGGCGACAGAGTGAGACTCCAACTCAAAAAAAAAAAAAAGAATTCAAAGTTGGGGCTGGGCACAGTGGCTCACATTTATAATCCCAGTACTTTGAGAGACCAAGGCAAAAGAATCACTTGAGCCCAGGAGTTTGAGACCAGCCTGAACAACATAGCAAGACCTCATCTTAACAACAACAACAACAAAAAAGTAGCCAGGCATGGTGGTGTGCACCTGTAGTCCCAGCTACTCGGGAGGCTGAGACAGGAGGATTGCTCGAACCCAGGAGTTCAAGGCTGCAGTGAGCCATGCTTGTACCACTGCATTCCAGCCTGGGCAACAGAGACCCAAACTCAAAAACAAACACAATGAAAAAAAAAAAACAGAGTTGTCACCTTTCTAAAGAGGAAGAGCAAATGTGCGTATCTTCGGGCTACTTCCCTACTTCACTAGTTTGTAGAAGTAGCATTCTGTATAAGCAAGATGAATTTAAGAATGCAAACACAGCTGGGTGCGGTGGCTCATACCTATAATCCCAGCACTTTGGAGGCTGAGGTGAGAGGATTGCCTGAGCCCATGGGCTCGAGACCAGCCTGGGCGACTTGGCAGTGAGACCTCATCTCTACAATAAATCAAAAAATTAGCCAGGTGTGGTGACATGTGCCTGTAGTTCCAGCTAGTTGGAAGGCTGAGGTGGAAAGATCACCAGAGCCCAGCAGGTCAACGCTGGGGTGGCCGTGAGTGTGCCACTGCACTCCAGCCTGGGCGATAGAGTGAGATTCTGACTCAAAAAAAAAAAAAAAAAAAGAGTGCAAACAAAATAGTGTAGCCCACTGAGGGTGGCCATTCAATATACAGAGGATAAACATATTGAGTGTGTGTCAACAAGCATCTCAGTCGTGACAAGCGAATGTGAGGTGGCTGGGGTGAGGATGAGGAGCTAGATATGGATCAAGAATTCGCATGAGAAAAAATCTCCACGAGACAAACCAGCATATCTTTAGTGAGGAAATGGACAAAGATGAGACCAGAGCCAACCAGTGACTAAATCTTGCTCCAAGACCCATTCCTTTAATAGCTATGCTCTAGTACCTGCTGTGTCAGACACTGCTGAGTGCTTGGGAAACAGCGATAAATCGGATTCATTCCTTCCCCGAGTCCACAGTCTAGCCAAGCAGAGCCAAAGAACCAATGGCAGGGCCCAGAGAGAATGCTGGGAGAGGCAGGTACGAGCTGCCACGGAAGCAGAACCCGGGCCAGGTGGGGTAAACTAAGCAGCTCGGCAGAGACCTTAACACCGAATAGGAATCTCAGTGACTGGAGCGCTAGTGAGGGCATTTCCGGCAGGACCAGCCCAAGTGAGAGCGGAAGGAGCCGGCGAGCACGGTGGAAACTGTGGCCAGAAGCGAAGGGAGAGGAGAGTGAAAACCCAAGAGCAGAGAACGGAGGATACTGAGTGTCCTAACCAGAGATCAGGGCCTCGTCCTGTGGACGAGTCTGTGACAGGACTCCCACGGTTTGCATTTGTTGGAAAGACCCCCTGGGCAGCTGGTAGGAGGCTGTCTGAGAGCAAGGCCAGTAGGAGCCCGGCTCCAAGGACCAAGCGAGGGAGGCAGAGGCCTGGCTACCGGGGGCAGTGGGTGTGGAGAAGGCCAGGGGAGGTGAGCCGAGGAGCCGAAGGACGGCCCGGCGCCATTTCTGCAGAGGCTCTATCAGCACTACCCGTCTCAGACGTTCTTAAGAATTCAGACTCAAGGCTGGGCATGGTGGCTCACGTTCAGGATCCCAGCACTTCGGGAGGCCAAGGCGGGAGAAGGGGCAAGGAGGGCCCAGGGAAATGAGTGCCCTCACTGCCCAAGAGAGCGGAAACAGAAGCAGGATGTTCTGCAGCACTTACCTCGTGAATCCCTGCAATCGCATCTGCTCCATACTCGCTCTGGATAATTGGCTTCTGGTAAGTCCTATACCAGTTCTCAAACTGGGTCTCCAGCTGCAGCTGAATCAACTCCAAGTGCCCGTAGTCATGATACCAAGAGAAGTAGCTGTTCACACAGATCACGTCCACATACGGAGCCTAGGACGAGAACATCAGCGCTTGTCCACCAACCAGACGACGGCACGACAGCGCTAGCACGCTCGTACTCACAGGCTGCTTCTCACAGAGAAGTCAAGAAGGGGGATGCGGAAAGCGGTATGGATTCTGAGATTATCCTGCCCCACAAGTAGGAAATCTAGTCAGGAAGTGACCCAAATGGAGCAGGCCTAGAATTTTGGGCTGATGCTTCAGACAGGCCACAGCTGGTGAGGGCTGAGAGGCGGAACAACTGCCAGCGTGCAGTACCCAGCGGAAGTCCAGGGCCCATCCAGCCAGACTTTGTTCCTCTCTAGGTGATGCTCCTGTCACTGTTCTTCCCTCATCTTGCCCTGGAGAAGTGTTTCCACCTGAGAGAATATGGTTGTTCTCCTCACAGAGAATCTTGATTCCCCATGACATTCCTGAGGCAGTATTGTGGGCCACAGAATGGAAGAGTCCCTCCCAGGAGGGTGGCTGAGATAACAGGGCAAGCTGCCTTGAGGCCAACAAAGCAGTACTCAGGGCTGAGCAGCAAAGGCTTCTGTGTTCAACTGGCTCATTTCTCGTGTCACCTGAATTCACCTCTTTCTAGTAAAAATGCTAATGCCCAGCTGGGCGTGGTGGCACACGCTGGGTCTCCAGCTACTTGGGAGGCTGAGGTGGGAGGACTGCTTAAACCCAGGAAGCTGAGGCTGCAGTGAGCCATGATTGCACCACTGCACTCCAGTCTAGATGACAGAGCAAGACCCCAATTCAAAAAAAAAAGAATGCTATGTCCAAAGACTGCACTTGGATGGATGTGGTCTTTTCCCAACTGTGGTAGCAGAAAGATGCAAGCAGGAAGAGAAAACAGGGGAAGGTTTAGGTGGACACACCATTCACGGATAAAAGATCCCACCAGTTGAGTGTGACAAGCTATGAGGAGGCCGGGCAAGGGTTTTCCTGTCTACACGGAAGACTAGAGTGGGGCCTGGCATGCCTGTAATCCCAACACTTTGGGAGGCTGAGGAGGAAGGATCACTTGAACCCAAGAGTTCAAGACCAGCCTGGGCAACAGAGAGACCTGGTTCCTACAAAAAATAAAAATAAATTAGAAAGGGAAGCGATGCCTCTCAGAGAACATCCAAGTGCCCCTTGTGCCGCCTTGGTGTTTGGCCACAGCCTGTATCTGTCTTTGTGGGGGGTGTTCTTGAGATGGCAGCGAGGGAATACCAGAGCTATGTGAAAATGGTAGTAGTCACAATCTATACTTACACATTTTGTTTTCTCATCTGTCCTGTCTTTGAGTGACTTCTCTTTCTATAGTACTTTCCTCTGAAGTCCTTCTCCCCTCTAGTTCCCTGGTTAAGGAGTATTTTCTTGCCCCCACATTGATAGCGCCCATGTAACTCAATGCATAGTTTCCAAGGGGTGGCTGTGCCCAGGCCAGTGAGCCCTGGGGCGGTGAGAGAGGCCGTGGAGTGCAGAGGAAAGACCGGGGTTGCAGCCAGCTCTGCCACAGCCGGCTGTGTGAGCCTGTCCCTCCGATTCTGTCTCAGGCACCGCATCTAGTCAGCGATTCCCAAAGCTGCTTGAGCACTGCCATCGCTGAGGAGCTGTTTAAAAACTCAGGTTCCTGACTTACTACATCAGAATCTCAGAATCTAGGAATGTGTACTTTCAAACTTCTCTTGGTGATTCTGATCATCCGCCAGGTTTGAGAAACTCAGATGCCCCTAAAACTTTGACATTTTATAAGCCTATTAAGTTGAGGTGCATAAAATTAAACTGAAGTGCACAAAACACTGAGTCCAAACAGAACAAATTACGTTTCCCTGGGTCTAGCCTCCTTGGACTGAGGAAGCCACGCTGCATAGTGAGTGAACAGGGAGTCATCTTGAACCTAAGGACCACCTGTGAAAACAGGCTGGCTGCTCAGGGCTTTCCCCGCAGTTCATATGAGCAAGCATCAGGACAGGCAGAGAAGGAGGGAAGTGGTATGGAGACTGCCCCCAGGCTCACCCCCTGGTCTGTTGCATAGTTGGACGCAGTCACAAAGGTCACAGGCCGGGAAGGATCCAAGGCTTTGGTGTGGGTAATCACCGTCCTGTCCACAGAAGGCAGAAGACATGAGCTCCGTCAGTCTGGGAAGGGCTGTCAGACATCCACCTCCCGTCTTCCAGAGCCTAAACAAAGCACGGAGCCACTGCTTTCCTCCCTACCTTGACGCATATTTCAGGCGAGCTAACAGGTTACTCCGGTCTTAGATTATGTTCCCTGGCATCACTCTTACTTCCTCCCTCTCCGAATCCTATTGTCCCCACACCCCACAGAGGAGCAGCCATCCTCACAGGTACACAGAGCTGAGGTTTTGGGGCTGCAGGCTGCCAAAAACTAGGTTCTGGATCACTGAAACAGCTCTTGGGAACGGAAATGGATAGGGTGCAGACGGGGGTGGGATATTTACTAGTGATGCAATAAATAAGGAGTGCATGCTAGGAGGCAGGCATTGTGTTGGGTACCAAGTGCCCGTGGTGGTCTTAGACAGCTAAGTTCACAGCTTCATGGGGCAGTGGGAGGAGGACACATGCACAGAGGAATGTCGCAAATGGAAACAATAAGTGGTGCAGGAATTATGAAAGGGAAGCACAGGTTCCAAGAGACAACCATGGGAACATAACTTAGATTGGAGAGTCAGGGACGGTCTCTCAGAAGAAATGGCACTCATGCCAAGTCGAGCTAACCACAGAGAAAAGGAGAGAAGCAGCACCCAAGAGAGGGACCAGAGTGTGGTCAGAATTCCCGAGGCCTCCACAGACAGGTCCTTGCTTAAGCCTGTTTTTCTATTTCCTCAGTTTCCTTCTTTTTCTTTACACCTGCTCCCTGACATTGCTCTTCTCATTCAAAGATGTAACAGTATTCCCCGCCTCAAGTTCCAGACCCACACTCTCTGACAACCTGGCTGTCAGCTGGGAAGCTCCGAAGCCTCGCGACAGCGTGGCTGAGGCACTCCAGCCTGGACGGCTCTTTCCATGTCCTGCCCCAGAAAACACGCCCCTCCCTCCACCTCTCAGAAAGCTTGTCTGGAAGGGCCTTGCGTTCCTGGGAGTCAATACTCTCCACTTTTGCAACAAAAGCTCGATTACTTAATATAACCTGCGCTCCATGAGTTCTGAGCTGTCCTTGCCCAGGGTGTGGCCACTCCTCAGAACTTTCCACCTGCTACAGATTGGCTCAAGCTCAAAGCACTCCATGGAGCTGGGGTACAGCAGTTTCCACAGCCTCTGCTGCTGCCTCTACTGCAAGTGAAATAATTCACCTCTGAAGGCCGAGCCACAACTGCATGATCGTAAGGAAGAAAAGGCACACCCCTGGTGGCCAGCCTCACTGTAACAATGGGAGGTGGGGAAGGGAGGATCTGTTGTTTAGTGAATGGAACCATGAACTTCAGATGGCCTGGTCCTGTCCAGCAACGTAACATTAGAATACTTGGAACATGCATATCACTGAAAAACCTGTTTATAATTATGTGCCCAGATAAACCAGTCTTACAAAGCCTAACTCCACTTTACAGACAAACCCAAAGCATCATAAAGTGTTTTTTTGCTCATTTTTAACACATGCTAAATTTCCCAGAAATGAGGATACCATAATAATGGAGGGAAGAGTATACTTAGTTCTGTTGGGAACTTTACCTAGAGTTGCTCACCTTCTTAGAACAGCATGGCACAGAAGGTCATGCTGCTCATGGGACGTGAGTACCAACATGCTGCCCTGCAGTCTGCTTTTGCAGCTGTGCTGTCAGGGCGATTCCACCTCTCGGTGCAAGCATCTGACTTCTTCAGTGGGTCTTCCAGGGAGTCAGGCCCATGCATGCATAATTTTACAAATAACTCTCCTATTTATAGCACAGTTACAGGCCATGCCATTAATTTTTCTAAAATTGGCCAGGTGCGGTGGCTCAGCCTGTAATCCCAGCGTTTTGGGAGGCTGAGGCAAGAGGATTACCTGAGCCCAGGGGATCAAGACCAGCCTGGGCAACTTGGTGAGACCTCGTTCTACAATAAATCACAAAAACTAGCCAGGCGTGGTGGCGTGCATCTATAGTTCCAGCTACTTGGAAGGCTGAGGCGGAAGGATCACCTAAGCCTAGCAGGTCGAGGCTGTGGTGGCCAGGAGCGTGCCACGGCACTTCAGCCTGGGCAACAAGAATGAGACTTCAACTCAAAAAATTTTTCTAAGATTTGAAGTTATGTGTAGAAATAGCTTATGTTACTCTGGACTTTCAGTTGTGAAAAAGAGTGGGTTGAAAACCACAATTTAGCCAGGCTCGGTGGCTCAGCCTGTAATCCCGCGCCTTTGGGAGGCTGAGGTGAGTGAACTGCCAGAGCCCGCGGGTTCGAGACCCGCCTGGGAAACTTGGCGAGACCTCATCTCTACAATAAATCAAAAATCAGCCAGACGTGGTAGCGTGCGCCTGTAGTTCCAGCTACTTGGAAGGCTGAGGCGGAAGGATCGCCAGAGCCCAGCAGGTCGAGGCTGCAGTGGCTGGGAGTGGCCACTGCTCTCCAGTCTAGGCGACAGAGTGAGATTCCAACTCAAAAAAAAAGAAAGAAAACCACAATTTCAGTGGGTAGATATTTGATCCTCTGAACTGCTGGGCATGGATGGGCTGTCCAATCCAGACTAGGGTGTTTGGGGGGGAGAGGGGACTCATCTCTCACAGCCCACACCCACCCCAGCCAAGGCCGCCCTCAGCTGTTTTCCGGCAGGAACCTGCCAAGGTCTCACCCGTGACCCAGCTCCGGGTGAGGGACAGGGCACACTCACTTGAAGTAGAAACCAGCAGATTTCAGAGAGGAAGCTGGCTCATTGGCCACAGACCACATCACAACAGCAGGGTGATTCTTGTCCCTGCGCACCAGCTCCTCCATCACCTCCAGGTGGTGCTGTAGAGACACGTTGTCATAGTTCTGGCTGTGGGGCAGGGAAGGAAAGGGAGAGCCTGTCACGCCGCCAGCCCGGCGAGCTGGGCGTGCTGAGAGGTGTAAGCGGTAGGCACTCACGGCAGCATGATGCCCGCTCCGGGACACTCATCAATGACCACGATCCCGTAGCGGTCGCAGAGCTGCATGACCTCCTCGGCATACGGATAGTGGCTGGTGCGGAAAGAGTTGGCACCAAGCCAGCGAAGCAGATTGAAGTCCTTCACCAGCAGCGCCCAGTCAAAGCCCTTTCCTCGGATCTAGGGGACAGCACAGCAGAGTGACCCCTGCCCCTGTCCCTGGGGAAGAGCCAGGCTTCAAGAGCTGGGCTCCTGGAGAGTCTGCCCTGCCAGCCCTCTACCCAGCCAAAGCACAAGCCCCATGATGGTATGGTTTTGAGCAGTTTGCTTAACCTCTCTGAACCTCTCTAATGAAGGGGGAAAGGAGATGACCAGAAACAGCCCTCAAAGGGACCCAGGAGCCCCGACTCACGTCCATATCCTCATGCTTGTTGACCCCGTGGAAATAGAAAGGTTTCCCATTGATGAGGAACTGCCTCTCTGTGACAGCCACGGTGCGAATCCCAACGGGGAGAGTGTAGAAGTCGGACACAGACCCAGCAGTCAGCCTCACCTACAAGAGCCAAAGAGCACTAGGCGTAAGCACCCTGATGCCCACCCAGCATCAGGAAGGACCCCCATACACCACAGAGGTCCACCTCTGGGGCTACAAGCAGAAATTAAAGGCTCGTTACAGCCGGGCTCGGTGGCTCAGCCTGTAATCCCGCGCCTTTGGGAGGCTGAGGTGAGTGGATTGCCTGAGCCCGCAGGTTCGAGATCCGCCTGGGCAGGCGAGACCTCATCTCTACAATAAATCAAAGAATTAGCCGGGCGTGGTAGCGTGCGCCTGTAGTTCCGGCTACTCAGAAGGCTGAGGTGGAAGGATCGCCGGAGCCCAGCGGGTCGAGGCTGCGGTGGCCGGGAGCGACCACTGCACTCCAGTCTGGGTGACAGTGAGACTCCAACTCAAAAAAAAAAAAAGGCTCGTTACATGCCAGGAGGAACACCCCACCCTGCCCCTGAGGCCTGCTCTTCAAAACTGGGACTCCCTCACTGGAGTGGAAAAAACAAATCAAAAAAGCTCAGAAGACCACGCCTGCCTGCCCACCTGTCCTGGGCTCCAGTGAAGCCAGGGTCACCAGATAGAGGCAAATACCTTAGCACCAGTCCTAAACCACGGTTACCTCCAACGAATACAGGTAGGCAGGATGCTCATGCATCAGGTATGGCCACCAGAGGTGGACATGGGGCACCAGCAGCTGGCCCCGGCCCCCTGTCCCGTGGGCTACAACTTTGTTTTCCTTATCCAGAAGACGCACTTCCAGCTCAAAGCTTTCGTTGCCCTGGACAAAAATCTGGTAATTCACCATCCCTGCAGGAAACAAGAGCGATCAGTGGTAAGAGATGAACACAACCTGGGTCACAGAGATAGGCGCACCCTGCAGCCCCCACTCCTAGGAGGCCATGTGTTTCTGGAACACAGTGTACAGCCAGGGAAGATTAAGTGAGGGTAGCACGACGGCGAAGGGACAAGGATTCTCATCCTGAGCTACAAGACCCCACTTCTCAAAGTGAAGTCAATCGCATGTGTGATTTCTGAAGCCCTTGCCAGCTGGCGCAGTCTGGATTTTAGTTTCTGAAGTGGACAGGAACTTGTGAGAGTTTAGAGGTGCTGGGGGAGCCTTTTTCCTGAGCGACCTTTCTTTCCAAACAAAAAACAGAGCCACTTTGGGGCCCTGCTGAAGGCAAATCCTGCCAGGAGCCCTCACCCGTGTCTTGGTCCACGCTGGTGGTGACAGTGATGTCATCAATGTAGGTGGTGGGTGTGGTGTAGAGAAACACGGACCGATGCAGTCCCGCGTAGTTGAAGAAGTCAAAGTATGTGTCCTGGACAAAGTAACCCTTGGGGTACCTGGAGTGGGAGGACAACGCCCACCTGGAACCGCGCCCTGGGTCCCTCAATCCCAGTTCACGCTCACATGTCTCCCTGGCCTCCCCACATCCAGGCCCTCCACTTTGCCAAGGCTACCCTGTCCCTAGCAGGAAGACCAGTGGGCAGGGCAGGGAGTTGGACGCGGGGAGGGGCGGGATACTGCTCACATGGAGGTATCGGTCTTGTATATGATGACCCCCGGCGGTAGGGTGTGGGGGGTGAGCGTGTTGTTGATGGCGATGGTAATGCGGCAGGAGGACAGGGGCCCACTCTGGACCAGCTTGCTGATGTCAGCCTCGAAGGGGAGGTGACCCCCCTGGTGCTCTGCCACGTGGACCCCATTCACCCACTGCGGACACAGGAGGGGGCAGCAAGCCAGGGCATGAGGAGGAGACCCTGCCGTCGTAGACAGTCCCTCGTAAGGTACAGCATGGCGGGCCTCAGGGACCTGCCAGCTGCCAGCTGCCACCTGCCTTGTCCCGCGGAGAGAACAGAGCTCCAAGGAAGCAGAGCAGGCCACTTTTCTCCCTGCCCAGGGCACAGACCCATCCCACCCCAGATGGCAGCTTGTCAGGGGACAGCTGGAGCCAGATGCCAAAAGGCAGCCCCACGCGTGCTTGGTAGCCACGCCCGCCCACTCGCCCTGCCTGCTGCTGGCCGCACTGACCACGATGGCGTAGTAGTGGGCGCTGCCAACCCTCAGCACCACTCTTGTGTTGAGGTCCTGGGTCCACCGTTGAGGCAAGACTGTCTCCCGCTCGTACCACACCCAGCCGACGAAGTTCCGCAGCTGCCCATCCTGGCCCACGTCGTTGAAGCTGGAGGGAACCGGCATGTCCAGGGTGGGACCGCTCTGGAGGAAGAAGGGCCAGGGTCAGGTCCGAGCCCCCTAGGAATCTAGGACCAGTGTCCTTCGAAGCCCCAGACCTGGCAAAAGCCCTGACAGACAGGAGGGAATAAATATCGGATGGCATGGAACTTGCTGATGACAGGTCAAGCGCCAGGATGGTTTGGGCAGAAGGCCGGCGGGGCCGGAAGTTCCTCCTCAGGGCCGATGGCAGCCAGGCTCTCCGTGGACAGGGGTGAGCCCAGCCTGAGGCAAGGCCCAGAGCTTGACTAAGAGACAGGTGACCAGAGGAAGCCTGGCAGGGGGCAGGGGCCCCTTTGCTGCGGAAACCGTGAGTGGGACACAGGCCGGCACCCAGGCCCTGCTCCCTTCCTCCTGTGATCAGTGCTGGTCAGCACAGCAGGAAAAAGAGGATCCGGGAGAGGCGAGTGCCGGATGAGCACGCAGGCCTGCCCATTTCCACTTGGCCGCCGACCCGACCCACGTCAGGGGCAGAGCGGCG